TTCATGGTAACTATTGAAAGGTATGAATTTAGTGCCATTATATTGCCTGTAAGGTGATGCTGTATACTGTCTCTGTTCCTTTCTGGTCTATGTTACTTTTAGGCTCTTTCTTTGCTTAGAGGACCCCTTTCAATATTGCTTGTAGGGCTGGTTTGGTGTTTGAAAATTCTTTTAGTTTTTGTTTGTCCTGGAAGCTTTTTATCTCTCCTTCTATTTTCAATGACAGCCTAGCTGGATATAGTATTCTTGGCTGCATATTTTTCTCGTTTAGTGCTCTGAATATATCATGCCAGGCCTTTCTGGCCTGCCAGGTCTCTGTGGATAAGTCCGCTGCCAATCTAATATTTCTAACATTGTAGGTTACAGACCTCTTGTCCCGAGCTGCTTTCAGGATTTTCTCTTTGTCTCTGAGACTTGTGAGTTTTACTATTAGATGTCGGGGTGTTGACCTATTTTTATTGATTTTGAGGTGGGTTCTCTGTGCCTCCTGGATTTTGATGCCTGTTTCCTTCCCCAAATTAGGGAAACTCTCTGCTATAATTTGGTCCAATATACCTTCTGCCCCCCCTCTCTCTTTCTTCTTCTTCTGGGATCAGAATTATTCTAATGTCATTTTGCTTTATGGTATCACTTATCTCTCGAATTCTCCCCTTGTGATCCAGTAGTTATCTCTCTTTTTCTCAGCTTCTTTATTCTCCATCGCTTGGTCTTCTATATCACTAATTCTCTCTTCTGCCTCATTTATCCTAGCAGTTAGAGCCTCCATTTTTTATTGTACCTCATTAATAGTCTTCTGGATTTTGACTTGGTGAGATTTTAGTCCTTTTATTTCTCCAGAAGGGATTCTCTAGTATCTTCTATGCTTTTTTGAAGCCTAGCTAGTATCTTTATAATCGTCATTCTGAACTCTAGTTCCGACATTTTACTAATGGCTGTATTGATTAGACCCCTGGCAGTTGGTCCTGCCTCTTGTTCTTTTTTTTGAGGTTACTTTTTCCATCTTGTCACTTTGTCCAGAGGGGAATACATGAATTAGGAACAAAATGCTAAAAAAATGCTAAAAGCATAACAATGACCCCAGAAAAACATACACTAAACAAATCAGAAGAGACCTGAAACCGGGGGGGCGTTGGGGGAGAAAGGGGAAAAAATATGATTAGGCTGGTGAATATAACAGAGCCACACACTAGATTTTGGGTGTATTTTGGTCTGTTAGAAGAAATCACCTCCCAAAAGTTTAAAGAAAGAAAAACTTATATATATACAAAAATAAGGGTAAATACGATGAAAGGATGGAATATGACTGTAAACATGAAAATTTAAAAAGATTTTTAAAAAGGAATTGATAAGAAGTTGTTTGAAAAAAGAATGAAAAAAATTTTTTTTAAAAGAGAGAATGTGATCAGGTGGGAGACTAGGACAATATCATACACTAGATTTAGTGTATATTTTGGTCTGTTAGAAGAAACTGTATCCCAAAATTTTAAAGAAAGAAAAACATATATATACAAAAAATAGGTTAAATACAACAAAGAGATAGAATATGACTGTAAAAATGAAAAATTAAAAAAGATTTTTAAAAAAAGGAAGTGATAAGATGTTGGTTGAAGAAGGAAAGAAGAAAAATTCAACAAAAAAATAGAAAAAGAAAAAATAAAGAAAATTAAAAAAATTAACTTCAAAAGACTAAAGCATCATGGGAAAAAAGCCATGGATTCTATGTGCTGTATTCCCCTAGCGCTGGAGTTCTGCCGTTCTCATTGATCGGTAAACTTGGTCTTGGCTGGCTGTTCTTGCTGATCTTTTGGGGGAGGGGCCTGTTGCCATGGTTCCCAAATGTCTTTGCTGGAGGCGGAATTGCCCCACCTTTGCCGGGTCCAGGCTAAGTAATCTGCTCGGGTTTGCTCTAGGGAGCTTTTGTTCCCTGCAAGCTTTCTGTACAGCTTTGGAGGAGGAAAGTGAAAATGGCGGCTTCCCAATCTCCACCCTGGAGGAGCCGAGAACTCAGGGCCCCACTCCTCAGTGCGCCCCCAGAGAAAAGCAGTCAATCACTCCCATCTCCCCGGTCTCCAGCCGCACTCCGTGCTCACCCGGCCTGTGACTGAACGTTTCTATCTCTGGCACCCGACTCAGTGTGGAGTCTCCAAACCCAGCAGATCCCTGCGGTGCACTCCCACGCCGCTCCTCCCGGGGAGAGGAAGGGGAGTCTCCCCGGATCTGCCACTTGTTGGGTCCCTGCTGGAAGAGCAGTGGCCCGACTGTGTCCCGGATCACAGTTTATGGCAACCCCGAGCTGAGAGCCCACTCCTTGGCGCCGTCTTTGCAGCCAGCTTCCCTGCTCCGATACCTGGGAGCTCTGCCACTCAGGCACCCCTGGTCTTTCTGTCAGTCTAGCAGTTTTTTTATAAGGTTAAATATACATTTACTCTATGACTTGGTAATTTCACTACTAGGTATTTATCCAAGAATAAAAAAAAAGGTATAAGGATATTAGTGGCAGCTTTATAACAGTCAAAACCTAAAAACAATCTGAATGTCTACCAACCAGTGGGTGGATAAACAATTTATGGTATATCCAAATACAGGGATATTACTAAGCAATATAAAAAATGAACTACTGACACAGGCAACAACTTGGATAAATCTCAAAAGCATCATTATAAGTGAAAGAAGCCGAACATAAGAGTATATACTAGATGATTCTATTTGTTTGAAATTCTAGAAAAGTTATGATAATAGAAAGTGGTGGAGTGGAGACTGGGGTTGGAAGGCGGGTTGATGGCAAAGGGGGAGGGAACTTTATAGGCTAATGAATATGTTCTCTTTCTTGATTGCACTGGTTGGTTGTGGTTATAGGTGTACGCACCTGTCAAAATTCGCTGAACTCAACTCTTATAATATGTATGTTTATATTGTATTACATATTTCAATGAAGCAAATTTTATAAAAGAAATACAAGTAACTTTTAGACATGAAAAATTCCCAATTTCACTATAAATAGATAAATGAACATTAAAACTACACTTAGATGACCATTCTCAGCTATCATTTAGTAAAAACACAAAAGCTTGACAATATATTCAGTTGGTGAATTCTTTAAGAAATTTTTTTTACATGCATTGTGGAAGGAGAGGAAAGTGGTACAATTCTCTCTGAGGAATATCTGGCAGTATCTACCCAAATTACAGATCCATCTACTCTCTAATCCCACAATCCCATTTCTGTGACTCTATCCTACAGAAACACCCACATATGTGTGCAAAAGACTAGAAACAACCCAAGTGTCCATCAAAAGGAGACTGGTTAAATAAATTATAGTACATCCACACAATAGAAAGCTAGACTGCTCTAAAGAATGAGGAAGACTTGGGATGCCTGGGTGGCTCAGTCGGCTAAGCGTCTGCCTTTGGCTCAGGTCATGATCCCAGGGTCCTAGGATCGAGTCCCACATCGGGCTCCCTGCTCCATCGGGAGCCTGCTTTTCCCTCTGCCTCTGCATCTCTCTCTCTGTCTCTCATGAATGGATAAATAAAAAAAAATATTAACAAAAAAATGAGGAAGACTTTTTTGTATGATATGGAAGGATCTCTAGGAGCATTTTAGTAAAAAGAAAAAGAAACCAGAAAAGGAGGAAAACTGAATAAATATTCAATTTTGAAAGGATAAATAAGCTAATCAAAATGGTTACTAAAAATCAACTTGTCTTTTTTTTTAAAGATTTATTTATTTATTTATTTATTTGACAGAGAAAGAGAGAGAGCAGAAGCAGGGGGAGCAGCAGAGGGAGAGGGAAAAGCAGGCTCCCTGCTGAGCAGTGAGCTCGACATGGGGTTCGATCCTAGGACCCTGGAATCATGACCTGAGCCAAAGGCAGATACTTAAGCGACTGAGCCAACCAGGGGCCCCTCAGTTTGCTTTTAATTAGAGAACTCTGAGTTCTTTTTTTTTTTAAGATTTATTTATTTATATTAGAGAGAGTGTAGGAGAGTGTGAGCAGGGGAAGGGGCAGAGGAAGAGGGAGAGAATCTGAAGTAGACCCCCCACTGAGCAGGGAGCCTGACTTGGGGCTCAATCCCACGACCCCAAGATCATGACCTGAGCTGAAATTATGAGTCAGACGGCCAACCAACTGAGCCACCCAGGCATTCTGAGCACTACTTAGTTCTTTGGAAAGAGTTTTGGTAAAAGTTACTGAAGTCTGGCCTGGAAATTCCTTCTTTCCTTCCCTCCACTCCTCTCTTCCACCTTCTCTGCTTTTCCTCCCTTCCTTCCTACAAAAATGCACTGCTTCTATGTAAGAGGGTTTTGGAAGACAAAGAAGGATACTAGTTCCTTGGGTCAGAGCAAAGAATCCTATAGCTGTAGTTTCCATGATACCTAAGAGGTCTGGGCTATAGGGCCCAGGGAGCTACAATAAAAACAAGTTCAGCAACAAGGGATGTCACTCATCTTAGGTAAGTAAGAGGAAAGCCCCCCAAAGCAGTCTAGCCCCTTGCCCTGAGTGTCTGACACAGCCCTATCTAAAACATAGAGGCTCCTGCTTCATTCCAGCTTAAGGTTGATCACTTTGCCCAGCACTTCAGAGGCTGATCATGCTGAAAAGACCAGACACTGTGCACAGCATCTAAGCCTTTCTGGTTCTTTACCATAGTTTATTACTTTAAGTGTGACTCCAACTACCCACTCCCCCATCATTGGTTGATTCTATAAATTGACTTCATTTTGAGATTAAAAATGCCCAAATTGTTTGTATCTTTGTAAGATTCCCTTTTTTTTCTTTAAAAAAGATTATAGTCCATTATGTTCTTCATATAAATTTTCCCTGTGGGGAAGATGTGAATAGTAACACATCTTCTTACCCCAGTTTCTTCCTCCACTCTAATTGGCCAAGCAATAGAAAGAGATAGGCAATTAAGAGGAGAGTAGAAATGATCAGCACACTCAGTGTACTCTGCAAAAATGCAACTCACTTAAAAATTCTAAATCAGAAAGAATAGACTTTAAAATACCTGTTCTTTCTGTTCAGCACCCACAGTTTTCCCAGGGGAGTGGTTTCCAGGTTGCTTATTCCCTTGAGATTCATAAATCTCTCCTTTAAGTCTTCCAACCTTAAATACAAAAGCATTTTCAATATGAGAGTATGGAGTTGGGGAGGTGGTTTGCTTTGTTTTTAAAAGATACGAGTAATACATGAATACATTCTTCATGAAAAAATTTCAAACAACACATAGGTATATAGAGTAAAAAGTGAAATTTTCCTTCACATAACCTTACCCCACAATCCCATTTCCCTTTCCAGAAGTAACACTGTTTGGGATATACCCTTCTTGAATTTTATCATGCATGTGTATACATGTACGTGTATGTATTAAATATATAGGTATATGTTGGTATTAAATATGTAAATGTAAAAAGACTAAGACAATTTGAACAGTTGTTTATTCATTCTTTTTATGACTGCATTTTTAAAATAATGATAAAATATACATAATACAAAATTTACCATGTTGACCATTTTCAAGTGCACACTTCAGTATTATTAAGTACATTCTAATTATTATGCAAACATCACCATCATCAATCTCCAAAATTCTTTTCATCATGCAAAACTGAAACTCTATGCCCATTAAGCAGTAACTCCCCTTTCTGCCCTTCTCTCCCCTAGCCCATGACAACCACCATTCTATTTTCTGTCTCTATGATTTTGGCTACTCTCGCTACCTCATAAAAGGGGAATCATACACTGGTTGTCCTTTTGTGACTCACATTTCAATTAGTATAATGCCTTCAGGTTTCATCCATGTTGCAGCATAGGTCAGAACTTCCTTCCTGTTTAAGGCTGAATAATATTCCATTGTATATTCCACCTTCTGTTTTATCTATTCATCCCTCAAGGGATACTTGGGTTGCATCAGCCTTTGGGCTATTGTGGATAACACTGCTATTTACATGAGTGTGCAAATATCTGTTCACATCCCCACTTTCAATTCTTTGGGTATATACTCAAAAGCAGAATTGCTTGATCATATAGTGATTCTACATTTACTTTTTAGAGAAAGTGCTATCTGGTTCCTATAGTGACTGCAGCATCATTTTTCACTCTCAACAACAATGCACAAGGGTTCCAATTTCTCCATATTACCATCAACACTTGTTATTTTCTGTTGTTTTTATAAGAGCCATCCTAATGAGTATGTATTCATTCTTGTAACAAAATTACTTGAGAACTTAGTATAGCCAGGTGCTGTGTGAGACACTAGAGATATGATTGTAAAATGAATATAAACTAAAATTGAAGACATATATCCAGAACTTGGAAGTACATATTAAAAATCAATAAATTAATGGGCACCTGGGTGGCTCAGTCATTAACCGTCTGCCTTCTGCTCAGGTCATGATCCCAGGGTCCTGGGATCGAGCCTTCCATCGGGCTCCCTGCTCAGTGGGAAGCCTGCTTCTCCCTCTCCCACTCCCCCTGCTTGTTATCCCTCTCTCGTTATGTCTCTCACTGTCAAATAAATAAATAAAATCTTTTAAAAAAAATCAATAAATTACTAAAAAGAAATGGTTCAAAAATGTGACACAATTCAAACTTATCCAATAAAATAGGGAAATAATTTCTATTTGGTAAATAAAGTATAAATAATTACCTAAATCTTTATTAAAAAGAAAAGATCCTAAATTGACATCATAGCAATAACATTACTGTTTAGCATGGGTAGTTAAAATGTATAAAACATAAATACTGATAGACTGCACCTAGGTCGGAGTATGGCATCTATTTGGGGTACTCTAGCTAGCAGGATCAGTCCTCACTAATATGCATATAATGCTCTAGCTGCTGATTGTTATTTTATACACATTTAAATAAATTCTAAGAACAAATTATATTAAACAACTTACCACTTCTTCAAGCACTTCTTTTTCTGAGTCCAGTGATTGAACCCAATTTCTTAAAGCCAGAATTTCCTCATCCAGTCTCTGATTATGTTCCCTTGCTTTCTGTAGGTCAACTGAATCTAAAATAGAGAACAGACACAGTTGGCTCAATTGGATCAAAGTTTTAATTTGAGGGACTAACTTTAAAACCAAGGAAGTGCTATTTCCTGCCTTCTCATCAGTCCTACCATGTCTCTGCGTATGTGATTCTCTGCACAGGAGAGCTGCTACACTCTCAAGTCCAGCCCTAGAATATTCTACCAACCTATCCAAAGAGAACAGAATTTTTTTATTATTCACACCAGACTAATGAGCTGGATATTTTGAGAATAGGATTTCCAGCAATAGAGGGTCTTCGAGGAATTGTACTTTTAAAGCAGTGGAACCTACCTCCTAAAAGTTATACAACTGAGAAAATGATCTTCCCATCTTGCTTGGGGTCCTGTCTCTCTTACACACCACATATACTCCTAGACACTTTTCTTTTACTCAGCAACAGCAGGGCCCCACGGATGACAAGTGGTGAGCCATGAGCAGCGAATGGATAGATTTTCCTAGCTAAATCAAGTTCATGCATCAAAACCATCTTTCTGCCTGCACCACAGCCCATAAAATAGTAGTTTACTCTGAGCTTAGCACCTCACGGTAAGACCTGCTCTTTCCAGCACTCATCAGTTTCAGTATTGCAAACTTGCTGCCCGAGACTTTCCTGAATTTGTGGCTGTTTCTTTTGAGCTACTTCTGCTTATATTTCTCTTATTTTTCTTCTGCTTTAAAGTCTCCTTTGTTTTCCTTCTTCATCGCCTGTTTCCTTCTTCATCGCCTGTTCTTTTAAACTACTTCTGCTCATATTTCTCTTATTTTTCTTCTGCTTTAAAGTGTCCTTTGTTTTCCTTCTTCATCGCCTTCATTAATTATTCCTTGTGTTTTTTTCTTTCTTCATTTTTCTTTTTTCCACTTCTTATTTTCTTTTCTCCCTTAGTATGTAATTTTTTTTTAATTTGAAAAGTGCTGAAAACACAGCAAAAAAAAAAAATCATTCGCAATCCCACTCAGTATATGCAAGTGGATGTGATATATAATGAGAGAGACAGAGACAGAGACATTTGGTTTTTGGCCTGTGCAGTTTTTTTTAAAGATTTAAACGATGCTACATAATCTGTCTGCAACTTTACCACTTGTGAATATGTCATGGCTGTCTGTACAGGACAACCCTTATAAAGTCACTTTCCATTTCTCATTGGAACTATTTTTAGGTTAGTTTTACTGGTTCTTGCTCTTCCTACAAATGGAATCTTAATATACGTATTTTTTTGTGTCAGGCTTCTTTCGCTCAATATATATTTTGGGGATTCCATCTGTCATATTGATAATTTATTCCTCTCTACTCTTTAGTCCATCTTATTCATATACCACTTATATCAGTCTTCATCCAGTCTCTCATTTTGTTCTGCACAGTGCACCATTGTCCAAATGTGCCATAATGTGTGTCACTTTTCCCCTACTGAACAAGATTCGGGTGTGTTGCCAATGCTTTACTCTTATAAACAATTCTAAAATCATTATCCTTGTTTATCAATCTTTAGGCACTTATGACATTATTTCCAAAAAATAAATCCCCAGAAATGGGACAGCTGGATCAGAGGATATGTGCATTTAGAAAATGTAATAGATATTGCCAAATTACTCTTTAAAAAGATTGTACAAAGTTACATTCTGTGCAATGACACTGCCCATTTCTCCACTGAATGTTACCAGAATTTCAGTTTTCATAAATCTCAAAGATGCATTTGAATAATGGCTTGTTTTAAACATTGATTTATTTATTTTAGAGAGAGAGAGAGAGAGTGTGTGTGGGGGGGACAGCCAGAGAGAGAGGGAGAGAGAAACCCAAGCAGACTCCACACTAGGTGCGGAGCCTAATGCAGGGTTCAATCTCACAACACTGAGGTCAGGCCTGAGCTGAAACCAAGAGTGGGACACAACCAACTCCACCACCCTGGTGCTCCAAATAATGACTTGTTTTAAATGCAATATTGTTTTGCTGATCACAAATGGAATATAGGCTTTTTTTTTTAAAAAAGAAAAACTATACCGTTATGTTCAAAGTGAATATTGTCATCTAACCCTTATTCACCACGCTGACCTAAAATAATATCGTTAATACTTAGTAAATATTCTTCAAAATATTTTATATGCATATTCTTCAGACAAGGGTTGTATTAAAAATATTTAACAATTGCTAAAGCATGGGCCCTCGCCTACAAGAACGTAGCTCCAGAGAAGAGTGCTAGAGAACTGCCAAGTATTATCCCTTTAGTGGTTGGGAAGATAAGGGGTGGGGAGGAGCTGGGATTGCTGGGGTAGGTGGGAGACAGCTGAAAGACTCAGGGCAGCAGCTATTTACAACTTATACAAAATTATTCCAGTGTCTTTACAACTTTATTGCCATACATTGATGTGTACCACCTCATAGCGGTCCTGTGGACATACACACACAGACACATACACCCAAAAAATAAAAACCAAAATAGCATTATACCACATATATTACTCTACAACTTGCTTTTTTCACTTGATAATATATCATAAACATCTGTTCACATCTGTGCACATAGATCTATGTCCTTATTAATAGATACACAGTCACTTAGTTAGCCAATCCATTGCGGATAAACACAACTTAATTTTGCTACCCCAAAAGTTACTTCTTACTCTCTGTACTTTTACAAGTTCTTCTATAGTCATTAGTGATAATGTAATATCTTCATCTGGTTTTGATATCAAGGTAATACTGACCTCTTAAAAGTTGGAAAGTATTTTGGCTTCTTCAATTTTCTGGAAGACTTTATGTAAAATTAGTATTATTAATTTAAAAAAAATTTTTTTAGATATCTAAGCCTAGAGTTTTCTTCATGGGAAGATTTTTAACTACAAATTCAATTCCTTTGGCAGATTTCTTCTTGAGTGAGGTTTGGTAGTTTGTCTTTGAAGGAAGGTGTTCATGTCATAATGGTCATCAAATATAGTGGCATAAAGTTGTTCAAAATACTCCCTTATTATCTTTTTGGTCTGTAGAAATGTTCTTTCTATCGTTTCTTATATTGGTGATTTGTTGTCTTCTTTTTTTCATGATCAATCTAATTAGAAGTTTACCAGTGTTATTGATCCTTCCAAAGAACCACTCTTGGTTCCATAATTTACTCTCTTGTGGTTCTGTCTTTAATTTTATTGACTTCCACTCTTATTTTTAATACCCTTTTCATTTCACTTGCTTTGGGATTAATTTGCTCTTCTTATTCTGGGTTTTTAAGGTGAAAGGTTGGATCACTTTGAATCCTTTCTTGATTTCTGGTATAAGCATTAAATGGTATAAATTCCCATCCAAGCATGGATTTAGTCACTTCCCCCCAAATATTTATATGTTTTTTTTTTCATTTTCATTCAAGTTAACTCATGGAAAATATTTTCTAATATCCCTTGTGATTTTTTCTCTGAAGGCATGGCAGTTTAGAAATATCTTGTTTGGCTTCCAAATATTGGGGGATTGTCTAAATATACTTCTGTTATTGATTCTTAGTTTAATTCTATTACGGTCAGAGAACACAATTTGTGTGATTTCAGTTCTTCCACAGAAAGTTGTTTTATGGCTCAGTACGGCCTCTCCTTGTGAATGTTCCATGTGTACTTGAAAAGAACCTGTGATTTGGTGGAGTTTTCTGTAATTATCAATTTGGTCATGTTGGCCGGTACTATTCTTAAGTCTTTATCCTTACTGATTTTGTTTTCTTGTTTTATCAGTTACTAAGGAAGCAGTGCTCATGTTATAACTGTATTCATATATTTTTGAAAAGGAGGGTTAATAATCTTTTTTCTTTTCTTTTTTTTTAAAGATTTTATTTATTTATTTGACAGAGAGAGACACAGCAAGAGAGGGAACACAAGCAGGGGGAGTAGGAGAGAGAGAAGCAGGCTTCCCACTGAGCAGGGAGCCCGATGTGGGACTCGATCCCAGGACCCTGGGATCATGACCTGAGCCGAAGGCAGATGCTTAACGACTGAGCCACCCAGACGCCCGAGGGTTAATAATCTTGATCACCAATTACAATGTGTGGGGTTCTTTTTCCCCACACATCCAGGCAATTCTTGGACACTAGCCAGGTATCTTATAATTCAACTCAATTCTGACACTATCTAGCTCGAGACAGCAGCAGATTCCACAGGTAAGGGCTAAGTCCCACAAGAATGCCCACCACTTAAGATGCCAATGACAAACCCATCTTGTTACCTGTGCTTCTGACTGACTGGTTATAAACCAGAGGTTGCCACGACCCCCATCTTCATTTGATTAATTTTTTAGAGTGGCTCACAGAATTTAGAGAAACATTTTACTCACCAGATTACCAGTTTATTATAAGAATAGCCAGATGGGAGAGATGCATGGGGCAAAGTATTAAGAAAAAGGGTCAGGAGCTTCCATATCCTCTCTGTGCACACCACTGTTCCCAAATATCCATGTGGTCACCAACCCAGAAAGCTCTCCAGACCATATCTTTTTGGGTTTTTATAAAGGTTTCATTCATAGGCATGATTGACAAAATCACTGGCCATTGCTGACTGAACTCAATTGCTAGCCACTGTCCTCTTCCAGCCTCTGGTAACCTAGGAGCTTTCCAAAAGTCCTCATTAACATAACAAAAGACACTTTTTATCACTCCCATCACAAGAAATTTCAAGGGTTTTAGAAGCTTTGTGCCAGAAACAGGGCCAACATGACAAATGAATGGATAAAGAAGATGTGGTGTATACACACACACACACACACACACACACACACACACACACTGGATTATTATGCAGCCATCAGAAAATGAAATCTTGCCATTTGCAACAATGTGGTTGGAACTAGAGGGTATTACGCTAAGTGAAATAAGTCAATCAGAGAAAGACAATTATCATATGATCTCACTGATACGTGGAATTTAAGAAACAAAACAGAGGATCATAGGGGAAGAGAAGAAAAAATAAAACAAGATGAAACTAGAGAGGGAGACAAACCATAAGAGACTCTTAATCATAGGAAACAAACTGAGGGTTGTTGGAGGGGAGGGAGGTGGGGGGATGGGGTAACTGGGTGATGAGCATTAAGGAGGGCATGTAATGAGCACTAGGTATATATGAGACTGATGAATCACAGACCTGTACCTCTGAAACCAATAAAACATTATATGTTCATTAATTGAATTACAATAAAAATTTTAAAAAAAGAAGCAGAGACAAAGACCAAATATATATTTCTTATAAATCACAATATCACTGGGAAACCTAGTTTTAGAATTATTTAAAATGGGTAACATGCTATGGACTCTGGGAAACAAACTGAGGGTTTCAGAGGGGAGGGGGGTGGAGGGATGGGTTAGCCGGGTGGTGGGTATTAAGGAGGGCACGTATTGCAATGAGCCCTGGGTGTTATATGCAAACAATGAATCATGGTACACTATATCAAAAACTAATGAAGTACTGTATGGTGACTAACATAACATAATAAATAAATAAATAAATAAAATGGGTAACATGTTTTTAATTATTTTTGTAGTTGCTACCATTATAACACTTAAATTTTGTTGTATTATTTATAGCTGGTAACATTTGTACATAGTCAAACTAGGGTCAGATTAACAAATTCACCAGGGATTACAAGTCTGTTGGCTTCTGGGTGAACAAATCTGTGTGAGGTATTGTTAAATTCATCATAAGGTGTCTTGATCTCAGTGGTAAGATATGTATTATTTGTGTTGACCACAGGTTTTGGAGTCAGATATATATGGGTTCAAATACCAGCTCTACATTACTTAATTCATTAATACTTAATGTAGCTAATGGATAACTCACTTAACCTTGCCATAACTCAGCTTCTTTGTCTTTGAAATGGGAATAATAATACTCACTACTTGGAATTGTTGTGAGGATTAGAGTTAATACATACATATAAGGCACCCAGTACTTAGTAAGCAATAAGTGGTACTAGTAGTTATAGTAGTAGGAATAAGTAATAACAGTGGCAATAATAGTGCTTTCTTATTATTATTAAGGATATTATGTTAAAACATGTATAATACACTTATTATTGTTTAATGTATTATTATATCTGCTGACATGCATGACTCACCATTTTCTTTCAGTTTTGTCAAATTTTCTTTCAGTTTCTCAATTTCTAGCTGAGCCTTCTCAAGGGCAGAATCTAAAGAAAAAAGAAAATATTTCTGTAAGGAGCAAATGGTTAGTGTAATGATCAAATTTAAAATGATTCTCTTTCTTCAGAACACTCCCTTTCTGCTGATTGTCCTTTCAGTTTCTACATAAATGTCACCTCCAGGAAACTTTTCCAGACTCCTTCTCTTAGTGTTCCTACTGCATCCTATCATTATTCCTGATTATGTGATCATATACCAAACTCAAATTATGTAATATTTCTGTTTCCCTAACTAGAGTCCATGTTGAAGAGCTTGGACCACTATAATCAATAGGAGCAACGAAACTTTTTAAGCACGGTACTATCAGCTTCAATTATACTCAGAAATACTTAAAATTAATTCCTGCAATTAGTAATATGTAGAATTTTACCAGTAGTGGGGCACCTGTGATGGCTGATTTAAGCGCAGGTCATGATCTCAGGGTCATGAGAGCAAGCCTCGAACTGGGCTCTGCATTCAACAGGGAGTCTATTTGAGATTCTCTCTCTTCCTCTCCCTCTGCCCCTCCCCCACACCATACATGCAATCTCTCCAAATAAAATAAATCTTTTTTTAAAAAAGAATTTTACCAGTAGTTGCTAGAAATATCAAGACAACAAAATTTCAGGAAATACGTTTTGATACCATTCAAGAATTATATGAAGATGGCAGAATGGTATAGGGCAAGAACATGGGGCTTTGGAGGCAACTGGATTTGGGTTCTCTAATCCAGGTTTTATCACTTTGCCTCCTGAGATCTAGTCATTACCAGTGATATGTTTGGTGGGCTTCCGAAGAACCTCCCAGAAATAAGAGACTAACGTGAACCTTGTAAGAGGTCATTCCTAATCACAAAGTAAATACATTGGCACAATTGTGCATGTTTTATTATTACTCCCCAAACACTCAATTCTTCAGACTAAATCCCAGTCGAATCTACCAGATTCAGCTAAAATTATATTCCTGACCATAACAATACTATTTCTGCCACTGCTGACAACAGCAGCAGCTACTAGTGTCAGATATATTAACATCAGAACAAATCTTCAAAGTAAATATTAGCATTCCCATTTTTAAGGAGGCTCAGAAAAATTAAGCAACTTGCTCAGTGTCACACAACTAGTAAGTGGTAAAGCTGGGATCTGCACTCAGGTCTGCTTGAGTACTGTGCCAGAGCTGTGAGAATAGCTGCTGTTTTACTAAAACAATGGTTTTCCAATGTGTTCGTCTATGGAGGAAGGGAATAGAATGATAGCAGGTGGAAGGATGTTCCAGAAAGCGGGAAAGCATAAGTGAAGGAGAGAGGGTAGGAGAGAACATTGAGTGCTCTGGGAACTACATGTAGTCTAATATTGCTTGGGCCTACAGTGCAAAGGATTATGGGAAATGTGGGATATGAAGCTGGATAGATAGGCAAGGGCCAAACCAGGAAGTCCTTAGACAGCTGAGAAATTTACAGGGGCACCTGGGTGGCTCAGTCGTTACACGTCTGCCTTCGGCTCAGGTCATGATCCCAGGGTCCTGGAATCGAGCCCCATATCCGGCTCCCTGCTTGATGGGAAGCCTGTTTCTCCCTCTCCCACTCCCCCTGCTTGTGTTCCCTCTCTTGCTGTGTCTCTCTCTGTCAAATAAATAAATAAAATCTTAAAAAAAAAATCTTTAAAAAGTAATAATAATTCCTTTAAATTTAAAAAAATTCATCTTTTTATTTCAATTTATTTATTGATGAATACTCTAAATATCTGAAACGAATTCTTTTTTATTCTTAAAAAATATCTTTGTTGTTATCCAAAATTTTTAATTCCCATCCAAATTTTTGGATATGATATAGAGAGAGCTAGAAAATAAACTAAAATAGAGTACTTCATCCAAAAGAGTCATTTTCGGGGCACATGGGTGGCGTGCCCTTCAGTTCAGGTCATGATCTTGGGGTCCTGGGATCCAGCCCTGCATCAGGATCCCTGCTCAGTAGGAAGTTTGCTTCTCCTTTTCCCTCTGCCCCTCTCCCCTGCTCCTGCTCTCTCTCTTTCAAATAAATAAAATCTTTAAAAATAAATAAATAAATAAATCAGTTTGTTTAAAGAAGTAGACTAATAGTTGGTAAACACTGTCATATAACACAGTTACCTAGAAATACATTCTGACTTATAAACTGATGACTCAAGAAGTTATACATAGGGCACACATTGGTACTAATATATTTTATTTTATTTTTTGATACTACATATATTTTTAAAGGACTTGCTAATTCAGCTTCCCAACAGTCCCCCAGTATACTTACTGGGGAGACAGCTTTCAGTTAATAGTTTAGGATCTACCAGACTAACCAACTGGTGATGGAAGAGGGGCCATGTGATGGTGTTGTGTCCAAATGTTACTAAGAGGAATGGGTGTCCTGCTTTACCTTTCTCCTTCTGTATTGCAAGCAGCAAAGACTGCTTCTCATCATACTCACACAGTCAAATTTCTTTTCTTTATTTAAAATTGGGTGTATACAATGGAATATTATGCAGCCATAAAAAGGAATGAGATCTTGCCATTTGCAACGACGTGGATGGAACTGGAGGGTGTTATGCTGA